CAAGCGCTGTCGGTTAGCGAATCCCCGTCGCATGCAGCGCATGTGAGCGGGCTATTGACACCCAACAGAGCGCGTCGGTGCACGCTTCAGCGCCGGCGAGACCGCGTGACGTGCGCCGTAATGCCCTGCGGCGACTCCGCAAAAGGAGCAACTGTCTCCACTTCATTGGAAGGAACGAAAGCCTCTGTTCTGGAGAAACCACGTCATGGAAACAAGGAAGCTCGCTCTACTTACGCCTTTGGAAGCCGCATCCTGTCATATTATTGCGCTGCCGCCAGACCGCCAAAGCGCGGCGCCGCGCCAAACATCCTGCCTGCGCCGATCGCGTGGAGGACAGGCTGGAAGTCGGCGCAGCTATGGCCGACGCAAGCGACTGACGCGTTCAAATTAGGTTAACCTTGGCCCTTTGTATACTAACAATATTACGCATGGTGCTTATTTGGCACCAAATCTCAAAAACACGAGAACTTATCTAAAGGAAAGTGAAAAGTATGCAATGCCGGCAGGGCTTTTCATTTCGCCTGTAAATTTGTCGCAAAAGCCCTTTCGTCTTGTCACCCTGCTTTTCTTCATGCTGCGACCGCAGTACTTAATGTATTCGCCGTATGGTCACATAATTTCCTAGACTATATACTGTACAAAAAATCTCCAGAAAGTTTTACGATGCATATTTTAATCACACCAGATGAAATATGATAATTTACATGAACTCTGATTTTGAAATTGTGGCGTCTATGTTAACTGACCTTGTCGGCTGACGTTTAGTTTGCATCTTTTGTGACCAGTTAATCATTTCTCGGATAATAATTTTGGAATGAATGAATAGCCCGTGAAAAGTGGTATTGCTTTGAAAACGTCTTAATTGTCAGCACTCATGAATGCAGAGCGAAGCATGGTATCATCTTCTCGAGGGATGGTTTGAGGATGTTGCAGCTGTACATATCTAATACCCTAGCATAAGGCCACAATGGACGCTACTAAGCATTGCATTAGACATTCATGAGGATTGGTGGCATTATGCACCTACATGGCGGCAGTTTTGCCAGTGAACGTTGTCAGCCGAGGTTCCGTATAAATTTGGTTTCAGCTACTTTTGGCTGTCTCTAGAATGGAGGTGCAAACATCAGCCGAACCAGAATTGTTTGGGTTCAAGCTGTCGGCATATGTGTATTCCTGTAGACATGTGAACGCTACTCGTGGAGAAAAGCTATTTCAAAGTTGCCAGGTGAGAGAAGTTCTTGCTGGGCTGCTAGGACAGCGAAATACCAAACGTAAACAGCATACACCGCTGCGTGTGCGCCACGGCGTGGCAGCACTCGTAAGAGTTATTAACGCCAGCTCGAAGATTGGAAGGTAACAAGGTAAAAATACTGGGCGAGGGGAGTGAGTTGCACAAGGTCAAACTTCAAGTATTTTCAAGTGTGCGACTCTGGTCAGATTATAGCCATCGGATTCCCTCAAACGCAGTGTTTGGAGTTACGAGGCGTCCTTTCTGGCCTATCACGCTCAATACTGGTGACGCTCATGCTCAATAACGGTGAACGGAGTGGAGACAAATAGCATGCAGTGACTCCTCCATAACTCATAAAAAACCGCACAGACTAAAGGCTGTGGTTTCACAAAATTAGTTGGGAGAGAGGAGCTAACAGTGAAAAACGCCCTTAATTACGCCCCATTTATTAAGTACGTCCTACCCCAAAATTACGCCAGCAAATAACTTTCCCCAGCTTTGGCCGACTCTCCTCCCAAAGTTCGACGGCAGGCGGGGGGAGGGGGGGGGGGGGGGGTAAGTGAGGAGGGAGCGTTATAGTATTGCGCTCTACGGCTGCATGCTGCACCTGTTTCTGCCTTGCGACCGCCGCAGGTCGGTGACCTGGCGCTGATGTGGATCCATGATGTCCACGGAATGCTCGTTGTTCAGCGCACAATAAACCTCATGTGTAAAATATTCGCGTGTTTGTCTGCGTGTGTGTAGTGCGCACCAGAAGACGGCACGCAATTTGTGGTGACACTCGATGCAGACAACCTGAGGTCGGCATTGTAATGCGTGGGTACTCAGTGCACGTGAAAATGACTCGTTACTTGAAACACAGCACGCAAGTGATTAATACTCGCCCTGATTTGCTGGTTTTTTAACGCGGACTCATGCGGAGGGGGCCGATGCAACCCCTGCCGTTTCCAAATGCTAGAGACATGTTTTGGTGTCAAAACACGCATAATTAATGCTCCATAGGCGAAAGTCGATTTGGACGGCATGCCGAAGAAGAATCCTCAGAAAACTTCAATGGGGGGCATCGACCACCCATATCAGTGAGAGAATTACGCTGAGTAATATACGCCAATACACTGCGCACCATGCTTTGACGGTACTGCACTCAGAGGATTATGCTCGTCACACGCAGGGGTGCTTTATGTGGAGCGAAGACGACGACACTGGCCAGTGCTAGGTGGAAAGAGGAGGCAGAGGAGCGAGACGGGGGGAGTCTGCGGGAGCCGTGGTTCATACCGCAACGGAGCGAAGGCCGAAACAAAATCTCTCCTCGATTTATTTTTGGCGAATTTTCTTCTGTCGTCACTCATTACGTGCTGTGCTGTGCTGTGCTGTGCACTACCATCATCTTTTTCGTCCCGCCCTGTCGCGTCATCTCCAACACCATCCTGATGTATCTCGTGCTGCGTTCTGCTCTGTCATCTCTCGTCCTGTGATATTATCTCCTCCTCTGTCCTGCTCCGTCGTGTCCTCTTTCCTGCCCCGGACGCTCACCTGTCTTGTCATGTCCTGTTACCTCCTGTCCTGGTCATCTCTTGCCCTCTGGCCGACATGTCATGCCCATTGATGGCGGAACCTCGACGAAAATTGGCGGAAGGCAAGCGTGATTTTTGTTCTGTTCTTTATGTGCACCGTATGTCAATGTTTGTGGTTTTCCCCTCCCAATTATGCATGTGGAATGCTTTTCTAATCTTCTCCGTCAAAATATCAGTTTCAGGCCAGGTTGCCTGCTCCATATCTCAGTTTCACCCCCCCCCCCCCCCCCCCCCCACACTCATGAGTTATCCCTCGCGACCTCAGAGACGCGACTGCGTCCATGCCCGAGAAAGCCAAGCATTCCTCCACAATACAATCCTCTATCTTAACCATGCCGCTCAAAAGCAATTCACGTTGTATATTTTGCGGTCCCCTGACTCGCTCTGGCCCTGCTCCGTTCTGCTGGCATGCCGACAACACCTACATCTATCACGTATTCCGCTCCTGTGTTTAATGCATATTCATTATGCATGCTATTTTTGTGTTTACAGCAGCAGTTGTCTTGCAGCACGGTAAGAAAATTGCCTAAATTTGGTAATTTCACAGCACTTTTACGCCAGAAGTGGCGTCGTTTATGTCTACAGGGACATTAAGCTGCCGACATCACCCTGGATACACTGGCTATGGGCCGCCACGGCAGCGCCCGGTCAGCAGGTGGTGGTAGACTGCTGGACTGGGACGACCATACGAAGCAGCCTCTGAGGCGGCTGTCTGCTGACGGGCTCTAACCTGCGCCAATCATGCGCAGCACCCGTTGAAAGTGGCACGTGCGGACCGTACAAGGCGAAGCTGACCCTTCCCGGGCGTCTGGGCGGCCAAATATACCGGCAGCGAAGCATTGACTCTGCCTGACGCCTGCCGGTGCGCGTGAGCTCGTTGTAGGGAGCCTCAGTGTCAGGGAGGGTGCTTTGGACAGTGCCCTGCAGCGGTGCCAGGTGCAGAACTGGTCATTTGACGGCAAGGCAGAGAGGCCCGGTCTGCGCCATGTGCTCAGACAGGCGCGCACTTCCAGCGGACTGGCCGGCTGGCCGTTCAGCGGCATCGGTCCCGCTGTGATACTGATCCCTGGCCGCAGGCACTAGCTCTACCAAGCAGGCCTTCTGGATCTTGCACCTGAACGTGTTTGGCGCCACCGAGTCTGCTGGACACGCGCGACAGCCTGTGCTTAGGCAGCTCCGCTGTGGCAGAGGTGCCGGCGCGCTAGGGGATTGGGCACGTAAACACACGACATTGTTGGACAACGTGACGAAGGTGCATGATTGCTCTCGGACGCGGTTTCATTGTTCTCGGACGCGGTTTCAATGTTCTCGGACGTGGTTTTAATGTTCTCGGACGCGGTTTCAATGCTCTCGGATGCAGTTTCATACTCTCGGAAGTGGTTTCAATGCTGTCGGACCCCGTTTCAATGTTCTCGGACGTGGATAAGCTGTGGCGACGCCCGGCAGCGGTGCTCAGTGAGCGGTCATTTCGCATGTTAACGCGGATGTCTGACAATTACTGGTCGTGTTTACTGTCGCCGTGCCTGCTGCCAGCGATAATAAACTCGGCATCTGTGAGGCTCGTTTGTGAAGCGTAACCCCAAGCCTGTCTTGCGTGGCATCTCAACACTTCCCCATCCGGCCTTTCACTGCGTACGTGTCGCAGTGGCAGTGGAATGGGACGGGCCGGAAACTGGGGGTCTCAGTGAAGAGTTTCCGATTTCACGAAACATCACAAAGACTAGTATTTCCTCGACCCGTCGTAACAAAATCCAAAAAGCAATTTGCCCAATGCAAACTTTTACAAAGTTTTGCAGGTGGCGCTTCAATTTTGAAACTGGTATGTCACGTGGCACACAGCGTAAATGCAGACCGCTCGAACAGGCTTTAATATTCAAATGGAATGACACCTAGTATATCGGAAGCAGGAAGCGTCCTCAAGGATTGTGCTCAAGCCAGGGCAACGGAATCTGATAGAAACTCAGCTGATGGCGCGAGAGTGGGTCGACTGGCTTCTTTTCAAACGACACTTAAATGCTGGTGCCGAGGCGGCAACTGGGGGGGGGGGGGGGGGGGATAGTTGAGGCCTCCATCTGTTCCAGCATCTTTGGCTGCACTGAAGTGTAGCTGCCACATTTTGGTTGAATTACTGCGTGTCTCATAGAACGTGACGTCATCATGGTCCAACTGGGAAGAGCCAAGATAAACACAGGTCATACCTTGCATATGAGTATATGTATTCAGTCGCTACGAACGATGGTACACTGGTAAGGTGGTGAACATCCGGCGGCGGCGGGGCCCGAATGACGTCACACCGAACAGTGATTGGCTGACGACAGCACACGTGACCCGGGCTCTTTCAAAATACCGGCGGTCTGCGTCGTTGAAACTAGGAACATGTGGTATGAACTGAGGCGAAACAACCCTGCGATGGCTCCGGAGAAACGGAGACAACGGTGCAGGGCCAGCGCGCTGGACGCGTCGTCATGAAATCGCGGAAACGCAACATGTACGGCATGCCCGCGCGACATTCCAAACATCGCACCGCATTTTTGTCACGCTTCAATTGCATTAGATAAAACAATCGCCGCTGTTTCTTCGAATTCGTGAAGACCACTCACCGATCCCACCAGCGCGCACGCCTCAGACATCGGCGGCGTCAGTGACGTCAGTGACGTCAGACATCGTGACGTCAGTGAACACCGCAAGCGCCGCCGCCGCCAGCGGAGGGACTGGAACTACAAGTTCAGCTAGCTGCCGAGGATGACAGGGAAAATAAAAACGCGTGCTCTATCAGTGGAAAACTAACAAATGGCACCTCGGCGGCTGAAGACGACCGACACTCGATGCGCGCGCGCGAGCCGACAGGCGGCTACCAGGACAGCCGTATGATCAGTGAAACAAGAGCGAGCCGCCGGCCGCGGCCGGACAGAACAGAAGAGACAGCACGTCAGCCTCCTTTAAAGCTATACCATACAGACAGAAACGCACGCTCGGCCGCGCCAAAACTGGCCAATCACGGCGCGGTGCGCCGGCGCGCTGACCGCGGCGACAAAATGGCGCCCGTCCTGCCCGGACCATCAGCTGAACAATACGATTGCTGGTTAACAGACGCTGCTGCGCCACACTCGTCGGCGCGCCGGTTTGGCCCTGGTTTGCTCCGCATCTCCCTGGCTTCTCACTAAATTTGTACATACTCAGCGAGGGCGGGCAATAAACGCATCTTTTGATTTCTACACGATCTTAAATAGGTTTCGCCGCTCGCGTCGCCACCCTCAACGCCCAAGACCCGGCATACACGCGCGAACAGGAACATTTTGCATACCTACTTTGTATATCACAAGCAGCCATCCCCGGTTTGCACGCGAATTCTTCACACGCGGGACTTGGTCATCTATTGCACTTTCCGGCGAAGTAGCCGGCAGCTGCTGCTCTGGGCACGTACCGAGCCCACCCGCGACAGGACCGTTCCATGCGCGCACCGGGCTGCTCCTGATTGGCCCGCCAACTCCTTTCCTCCCGTGACTGACGGCCGATCCAGCCGAAGCACGTCGTGCACGCAATCAGCGGATGACGTGCAACGCAACAGCCAATCAGTGCTGTCCGACCACGTCGGCCAATCAACGCGCCCGTCCCGGCGCGGAGGCCAGTCTGCAGACCCGGTGCTGCACAGCGGCCAATCGGCGCCTCTGGGCCTGCCATCTGGACCAATCGGCGCCTCGCGGCCGGGCGCGGCGGCCAATCGGCGCGCTCACTCGAACAGGCTGAGGATCTCTTCGGCGGTGGCACTGCTGCAGGGCGTGCCACCGCCACCGCCGCCGCCGCTGCCGGCCGGTCCCGGCTGCGAGGACGAACCGCCGCTGCTGGGCGGCGTGGCCAGCTCGGGAGGGTCCAGGAACGACAGCAGATCCAGAGGGTCCACGCTGCTGTCCGGGTACAGCTGTGGGCGCAGAAGAAGGGCACGTCAGGTCCGAAGCACAGTGTAGCACGCGTTGGCTGGTGAGATGTCTGCCGCAGCGGCGCACACTCTATCCTTAATCATGGCAAGCCCTGACATGGCACTCACACGGCGGCACTCAAACTCACTGGCACTCACTCGCATGGCGCTCACTCGCGGCGGCACTCAAAGCCCTCGACGCTTAGTGTACTCGAGCTGTGTACTAGATGCCCCATCGAGGACCCCCCACGGCTCTGAGCTGTGGCCTCTGTGACCGCGGGCTGACGCCTCCCAGCTCCGCACGCTGCGACCTGTGACCTGGCCCCAGCCGCCCACTCACGTCCAGCGCCTCCGGGCCGCCTTGACTGTCGCCCTCCACGATGTCGGCCGGGTCGAAGTTGAGCTGGCCGCTGAGGTCGGGCAGCTGCGGCTCGCCGCTGCCGCCAGAGGTCGTCTGCGTGTCGCCGCTGGTGCCGGCCGCCGACGTCGTCACGGTGGACGAGCCTGCTGAGCGCGCGCCGGTCAGGGCTAGCCCCAGCCACCGCGGCCGGCCGTCGGCTGGGCCGGCTGCCAAACGGCCTTTCTTACAGGGGAACACCACGAATACTTATGTGCTAAGTATGCCTCCCCGTCACCCCATCCAAAAATAGCAGGTAGAATTTCAGCAGACTGCGATAACTTAACTTCAGCTTTTGCCATAATACATTATAAGTTACGTGATTCATAAAGCCATTTGTTTTACACCTCACCAAATGCAAATAAAACATCTTAAAAGTTGCGACTTCTAAAGCTTCCGTGACTTTGCACCTTGAAACTCAAATACGAACAGGTATATGTCCCAGGCATGCGTCCTTGACGATTCACTACACAAAGATAGCTGCCGTCATCGCACGTGTCTACAGGGGATGTGTCAGTTCCCAACCCACGCCTGTTGCCAGGGCAACCGGCGCGTCTACCGCACGCGGCAGGTGAGCAGGCCGGCCGGCGGCTCGCTGCTCACCGTTCGTTGAGGTGACCGAAGAGGAGGAGCCCGGGGTCATGGGAGTATGGGGCATAGTATGGCTCGACTGGCCAGCACCCGGCGTCGGCAGGCTGGAGCCGCCGCTGCCGCTGCTCCCGCTCAGGCCTCCCATCTGGCGGGGGAAAACGTAACTGTTATGGAACGCGCGGCCAGGAGCGAGGCCGCCGCTGACAAGAGCTACGTGCTATGGAAGCTGCTATGGAAGCTGTTGGCCGACGGGAAACACCGCAGCATTCGGATCGCATAGACAGAAAAAGGCACATGATTTTTGCGAAACATCAGGTTGGTTTATGGGGCCAACTCATCATACGGAAAGCATTGTCAATGTCATGCTTCATCATATTGCATGGCTGATGCAGTAGCCTGACTTCCATGTCGGTGCATCATTCCGTATGGCATACAACCAGCATCGCTATCCTGGGAAGGCCCTGTCTCCAGCAGCGTCGCCCACTACCCCAGCGGCCTCTGCGCGCGCCGACCGGTCGGCGCGCTCTCGGCCGCCGCTGGTCGGCCGCGTGCTCACCGTGTCCTGCATGCTCTTCTCCATGGCGGCCAGCGGGTCCAGGTTGCTGACCGAGTCGCTCAGCTGACTGAGCGCGCTCGGCTCCGATTCAGCACCGCCGGCGTACGGCGGCACCGGCGCGCCGGCCGCGCCGCCCGCTGACGAGTACGGCATCATCGAGCCGTTGTTGATGCCTGCGGGGAACGTCGGTGTCACACGCAGCCAGTCGCGGCGCGGCTCAGGGAATGACACCCCTTGACGTCACCATCACGCCACCTGACGTCATCAAGACACCCCTAACGCCACGAGCAGCAACGGGGTTGAGCGGCGCGTCAAGTTTGCGACAGCGAAAACTACCATGGAAGTCTATAGCGCGAGACTACAGCGGAAGACTACAAACAGCAGAGGCCTGCAGCAGAAGAATATAGCGGAACACTACCGCGGGAGACTACAGCTGAAGACTACAGCGCGGCGGCACAACCTCAGCGGGGGTCCTCTGGCGTAATTCCTCACATCTGCGCTCTGCGCTGTGGGCCAGTCAAGAGAGCGGGGGCGGCAAGAGCGCGACGAACAGACAACACCGTCAGCACACTGAACGGGTCACGCACAAACAGACCTCGTTGAAACGAAGGCGAGCGCGAGCGCAACATGACCGCTTACTAGCCAGGCCGGCCCGCCGCCGCCCGACCGACCTCTACCTGCGCATGCGCGTGAGCGACTTACTGGTCATGTCCGGCGGACAGTAGGGGGACATGCTCTGCACGCCCTCCCAGCTGGACACCGAGGGACTTACTGGTCATGTCAGGCGGACAGTAGGGAGACATGCTCTGCCCGCCCTCCCAGCTGGACATAGTTGGCATCTGCATGGAGGCTGGACTGATGGCCTTGAGCCGCTGCTTGGTGCAGGGACTGACCCCTCGGTCGCTGTCCGGCTCCTCCTGCCGGGCAAGGTCACCAGGTCAGGTTGGGTCACCTAGACGGGTAGGTAGCGAAACATCACTGTAAATTCGCACGCTCCCGTTACAGCACGGTCCCGTCACAATGTCAGTTTACGGACGCAAACTCACGAGAAGAACGGGACGCTACGTAGTGGCGTAATGTCAAGTAAATGTCAGACGGCCGAAGCGTCAAATGCTGCTTTCAGGACCGTGCAGTACTGAAGCTTCCGTACAGTTCAGAAGCGAGGATTTAAGTCAGCCGTCATTAACAAGTCCCAGACATATCAAACATGTCCCAGACATATTATACATGTCCCAGACATATTATACATGTCCCAGACATATTATACATGTCCCAGACATATTGCCGATCTAATACAACAGCCAAGCTCGTCCCCCACTTGCCAACGATTTGCATTTGTGAGTCCTTTTCGAATTCATCGTGCAGTCTGCTCAGGTGCTGCCATCGGCCGTGCCTTGTGCACCACCACCTCATGCCACGCTGCCCCCTTCAGTCGCCACCCGAGCACCGTCCGGCGCGTGACTGACCTTCTTGACCGTGGTGCCGTTGCTGGCTCGCCAGCTGGCGGAGGCGTCGATGGTGACCTCGTCGACGTCCGAGTTCTGCAGCGAGTTCAGGATGCCCCAGATGTACTGGTCCACCTCCAGCCCCTCCAGCGGCGCCGGCTTGCTGCAGGTCAGGTCAGATCAGGTCATAAGTCAGGTCAGAGGTTAGGGCAGGCGCTGAGCCGCCTCCACTGACTGATCCGCCCGGATTCAGGCAAGTCACAGAGCTTTTCCTGACGCTCGAACGCATCACAAGATGCATCAGGGGTGGTACATAACGGACGGAGCAACGGGCTCCCGGACACAAACGCCATCTACTGTACGCATTTCAACCAGCAGTAAGACGCATTTAGACACTGATGCCCAAACGTCCGTATGCACTGCACTGCAGTGCATACGGACACTCGGGAGCCGGGTCGCTGCAGCGTAGCAGAGTGCACTGCACTGCCCTGTACAGCTGCAGTGCACTGCACTGATGGCGCGTGGCAGATATGCATCGCACGGTATCTCATACGTCCGACCGCGCCACGGACGTCTCCACTCCCAGAGGGCGCAGCGACGCGCGCGCTGCCCCCATGGCGTCCGCGGGCGCGGCCCTGGCGGCGCCGCACCGCCGCTACCCGGGTCTTACTTGCAGACGGGACAGCGCCAGGCGCCCCGTTCGCAGTTCATCTGCAGGTAGGACTCGAGGTCGAAGCACTGCACGTGCTTGCAGTCGTGCCCCCTTGCCGGCAGCGTGATCCGTTTGTACGTGATGGAACACTTCAGCGAGATCTGGAACACGGAGCACGGCCGGCTCTGGGATCTGCGCTCGCTACAGCAGTCGCCAGTCTACACAGCGGCTCGCTGCGGTGTCAACAATCGCTCCAGCGGCCACGATCAAGGCATCGACTCGATGTCCGCGACGTCGGGCATCGAGCCGTCGTGTCCGCAGATAGCGTCCGTGGCGATCCAGCTGAGGGGCGGTGAGCTGCTCTCCCCACCGAACGGAGGCGGGATCGTCGCCGGCCACGCTCCCCCTCCCCGCCGCCGTGGCAGTGGCGGACTCCGACGCGGCCCGACTCAGCAGGTGTAGCCGCGTACAAGAGGCACACGTCATGAAGGCCAAACACGGAATACAGCAGTGCCGAGAGAACACGGAGCGTTCCCCGAGAGAGCACAGAGTGTTCCCCGAGAGATCACAAAGTGCTCCCCGAGACAACACAGAGTGCTCCCCGAGAGAACACAAAGTGCTCCCCGATAGAATACAGAGATATCCCCGAGAGAACATAGAGTGCTCCCCGAGAAGCAGTGTTCCCGAAGGAACACAGAGTGCTTCCCGAGGGAACACAGAGTGCTCCCCGAGAAAACACAGAGTGCTCCTCGAGACAACACAGAGTGCTCCTCGAGAGAACATAGAGTGATCCCCAAGAGAACACAGAGTGCTCCGCAGTATGCGGTGACGTGTCCAACACGGATCCGCCGGCGGTCCGCACCTTGATGGCGGTCTGCTCGACGCCGTCGCCGTCGCCGCCACCAGCGCCGCTCAGCGTCGACGAGCTGAAGTTGCGCTTGATCTTGTTGATGCAGTGGTCGGCCGGCAGCAGTCGCTTCCGCAGCAGGCCCTGCAGCACGCTGCGGACGCTGGGCCGGTGCACCAGCTGCAGCACGAACAGGTGCGACTGCCGGAGCAGGGGGCATTGGGGTCACAACCGGGTCACGGGGAGGTCAGAGGCTGACAATGGCAACAGGGTCAAACTAAGGCCAGGCGGTGGTTACAGGGTCAAACAGGGGCCCGGTGGTGGTAACAAGGGTCAAACCGAGGTGAGGCAGTTGCCAGGTGATCAAAACAGAGATCAAAATGTCAGGGAAGGTCACTTGGGCCAAAATCGAGGTCACACGAATACGCAGTTCGGTTTCAAACGGTTCTTGGAGACCTAGTATTAGTAGTAGTAGTACCAATTGGGGCTTTAGGGCGCTTTGACTGCGCGTTCGTATAGTACTCAATATCGTGGAGCTACACAGAGAAAATCGCACCAGCTGAGGCTGCACGCAGAGGACGCAGTACGAGGGCAGGCCGGGACTGCAGAGACCGCGCGTGACCCCGATAGCGAGTGGGAAGGGAGTCCTTGCTCCATCCCAACCATCGCTTGGCCAGGCAGGCCGGCGCGGTCGGCCGGCGGAGAGAGGGCTGAGCGCCGGTCCGCGCCCGCCGCCGGCGCCACTCACGCAGCAGCAGGCGGTGACGGTGATCTGGATGGTGTTGCGGCCCGGCTGACAGAACTCCTTCAGGTTGAGCGGCCGGTGCGAGCCCTTATTGTCGCCGCGGTCGATGTTTAGCGGGTAGGCGTTCACCGATACCTGCACCGACGCCGGCCAGTTGGTGTCCATGTTGCGGTCGTCGTGGTGGAAACACTTGAGCTGTAGCTCCAGGTCCGACCTGCCATCACACAGGGACATCTAGCGTCAAGGTGGAGCGGCAGATGGCACACCAACGACATCTAGCGTCAAGGTGGAGCGGCAGATGGCACACCAGCGACATCTAGCGTCAAGGTGGAGCGGCAGGTAGCACACCAGCGACATCTAGCGTCACCGCGGGGCGCCGGCAGCGGCGTCACAGAAGCCGCCGCCAGTCAGCTGACAGGCGTGACGCCAGAGGCGTCACGGCGCTGGCCGGTACGGATGAACGGCGCCATTGCTGCCCGCCGGACGTGACGCCAAACATGCGATGCCAGGATTTAGGGACAGACGTAGTTTTGGGGCAGATGACAGGACGTGACATGCGCCATGTCATCAGCGATTTCCGCTGTCAGTAATGAAATATATTAGTTGAGGCGACTAATTAACTAGCATAATATGGTATCTAAAACCGATGGAAGACATTATATGTGTTAAGCATCTTCACCTTCCTAGCAGAGAGTCTTCAGGGTTGGAGAACCTAACTTCACGATGCATTTCAGTATCCGAAATGATGAAATGGTGTGAAATGGATTTAGCCACATCAACGAACGGTAACGCGCCTTCAGGAAATATAGCATGGCCTAAGCTGAGAGCGACACATCAAAGACAATGCATCACCACTTTTGGGGCACGTATTAAAAAGACAATGGTTAGCGCGACGCGCAAATGAGGTGAATGGTTGGAGTTTGGCCAGTGTGATGTCCACAGGGTAAGATAGGTTGGCATGCACGTAACGCGTCCGCCGTGTTGCAGTGCCCACATCCGCTGAGAGCGAGTTTCAGGACAGTCGCCTCTACATCAGGTCATGTTGTACGATGGCTTTGACGGTATCACTGCTCGTCGCAACGGTAGCTTTGAGTGGATAACTGAGAACTCTGAGGACTCTGAGGATTGATAACTCTGAAAACTGACAGCTCTGAGATATGAGAACTCTGAGGACTGAAAACTCTGAAAACTCTGAGAACTGAGAACTCTGGAACTGAAAACCCTGAGAACTGAGAACTATGAAAACTGAGAACTGAGAACTCTGGGAACTGAGAGCTCTGAGAACTGAGAACTCACCGCCACATCAGCGTCTGGTGCACGGTGGGCTTGAGAGGGAACTCGTGGTTGCTGACAGCCAGGTTATGCTCCAGCCGGAAGGGGGGTAACACAATGCCGTCCCTGACCGGGAACGTCAGCCGCAGCTCATCATCTTCTGCGGAGCGGAGACAGAACGGGGATCTGTTAGTGACGGCATCGGCATCAGCATCGGCATCGGCATCGACGGGGTCGGAATGTGAGCATCGCCTGCGCTGTCGTCGGCGGCATCCATAATCAGCATCGGGACTGATGTTGCCACCGCAGTCACCGCATCAGCTCACCGTGCTCCGAATCGTCAGCAACACCATCGACACGTGCAACATCAACTTCACGCATCTGTTGCAGCCATACGACCTTTATCTTCAATTATACTGGTAGTGGCCACTGCTACGGTTATGGCGGCCGCCAAATTCGCGGAAGTCACCATAATCAACAGCATGACACTCAATGAACACGTGCTAACGTGTAACACTGGGGTAAAAAACACGAACTGTGAGGTCCGAGGCCAGAACCTGTATTGGACCTGTCTGAGATCAAAGCAGACTGGATGCAAGTTGAGCTCAGTATCGCAGTTTCCCAATCAAGGCGTTGAAGGGTGCAGGGCGGTTGAACTCCTCTTGAATCCATGAACCTTCGGCCAGCCCATGGCCATGGCCTCAACCAACCCAACCCATGACATTCGTGAAGCGTTCCGCTACATGAAAATCCGCCGGGAACACCGAGCTGCTCGCTGCCATTCGGCGTCTGGCTGAACACCGCGATAAGCTTCCCGTGCACCGCGGTGCGGCATTGTGAGCACCTTATAGGCGTGAGCCCCTCCTAAGCACAGAGGTGACTCAGCTTCGGCCTCTGTCTCCTCCCACCCTCACGCCCTCACACCAGTCTCCTCTCACCTCACGCCTCACACCAGTCTCCTCCCACCCTCACACCAGTATCCTCCCACCCTCACACCAGTCTCCTCCCACCCTCACACCAGTCTCCTCTCACCCTCACGCCCTCACACCAGTATCCTCCCACCCTCACACCAGTCTCCTCCCACCCTCACACCAGTCTCCTCCCACCCTCACGCCCTCACACCATTCTCCTCCCACCCCCACGCCCTCACACCAGTCTCCTCCCACCCTCACGCCCTCACACCAGTCTCCTCCCACCTTCACGCCCTCACACCAGTCTCCTCCCACCCTCACGCCCTCACACCAGTCTCCTCCCACCCTCACGCCCTCACACTAGTCTCCTCCCACCCTCACGCCAGTCCCCTCCCATTCTAACGCCGCCCCATTCCATCCTCACGTCACGTCTTCTCCCAAACTCACGCCACGTCTCCTCCCACCCTCACGCCACGTTTCCTCCCGCCCTCACGCCACGTTTCCTCCCACCCTCACGCCACGTCTCCTCCCGCCCTCACGCCAAGCTCCCCTCCCCTCCCGCCTCACGTCGTGCAGTGCCAGCCGAGAGCCGAGAGCGGGCGTCCCCAGTGGCGCGCTCTCCGCGCCTCCGCGCCCAGTCCCTGCCCGCGGGCTGCCGGGCCTCAGCTAACTTCATTTAATCCCGATTGATCCCGGCCTGGCCCGCGCGCCGCCACCACCGACCAATGAGCGGCCTTCCCGCCACCGCGCCGCTGAATTAGGGCGCAAACCGCGGGAATCGTCGGAAAATCCATTCCCATATTCTCTCCGGGCGTCGACTGCGCGCCAATAAATAACGCACCGCTGTCAGGCCAGTCACCAATAACCGTCGGGAGACGGTCGGCAGAGCGGGCGGCGAACGCCAGTCGGCGGCGAAAATTCCAGCCGCCGACGGAACCGACTCCGACCCGGCCGACGACCGACCAGCCGACCGACCAACTCCAGCTTTCCGATCCTTTCCAGCCAGCAGGCAGGGGTGAGCCCATACGTCGGTGACGCTGCTCCCGGACTTATTGAATAGGGGTCGTAAAGGCCGTTGCGTAATTTTCTCGATATTGTTCAGTATTTATATTGCGGTCTTGCCGATCGTTTGAGTCTGCGGGCGTTGATGGTCCTTGGTCCTAATTAAGTGGCGCAAACTGAATCTATCACGCGGTGTTGTGGATACACATGGAATTATTTTTACACGGCCGCCAAATAGTACCTCAAGTGGTAAGCGATTATATCTGAAGGTAACCAGCCGATGACACCGGCCGTTTAACACCAACTCCGTCCGGACACAGCCAAAACACCTCTCAGCCCTCAATCATCGGCTGGAGCTGCCACGCTCACCCTGGCGCTGCCGACCGGTTGTCCGTCGGTTCGACCTTGGCGGGTCACATACCGGGGCGCCCCCCTCCGACCTGCCGCTCCCCCCCCCCCCCCCTCTCCCGCAGCCGCCGCCGCCGCCGCCCGGCGACCGGCGCTCTGGCAGCGCGATGAGTAAAGTTACCGAATTGTTGACTTTGTCGCCGGCTCGCCGCGTAAAAATAGTGCGGCGGCATGCGCCGCGGCGCCGGCGATCGGCAGGGGGGAGGGGGGGGGGGGCGCCTCCCGAAATATATCGGCGGCGGCGGGCGGCGTGGGTCGCAGCGCCCGGCTGCGGAGCCCCAGACCGGACGGGCGAGACACGGAGACGACACGGCAGACCGGGCGGGCGAGACACGAAGACGACACGGCAGACCGGGCGGGCGAGACACAGAGACTACACGGCAGACCGGGCGGGCGAGACACGGAGACGACACGGCAGACCGGGCGGGCGAGACACGGAGACGACACGGCAGACCGGGCGGGCGAGACACGGAGACGACACGGCAGACCGGGCGGACCAGGCGCGGAGACGACACGGCAGACCGGGCGGGCGAGACACGGAGACGACACGGCAGACCGGGCGGGCGAGACACGGAGACGACACGGCAGACCGGGCGGACCAGGCGCGGAGGCGACAGGAGGAAGCCGCAAGGGACGCAGGACACCAGGAGCTACGCGCAGAGGACGAAGGGACGGCGGACCAATCATGGACGACATCAAGGGTGTTGACGGGTTAGGAGAGAATGCGGAAGTCAAAGGCCGAAAGGACCGGGTATCGATGACAAACCTCCAGCACTGGACACACACCACTCTGAAGTGTGAAGAATGTAGAGAGCTCAGGCCCGAGGGTGCGCATCACGGAAGAGGGATGGGGCAGGCGGGGAGGGCACGGATCAACACATCGCCAGGCTCCAAACCGCTTCCGGCGAGGCCCCGCCAGGCCACAGATCGGCGCCAGCCAGCCGGAAGAGAACAACGTCGGCGGGGCGTGCGGCGCGCGCTCGCGGACACGAAGGGTCAGAGGACTGCGGGGGATGAGGTGGTGTTCGGAGGGCTGCGGGAGACGAGCGGATGTTCGGAGAACTGCAGGGGATCAGGAGGTGTTCGGATGGCTGCATGAGGATGAGGGGTGTTCGGAGAGCTGCAGGAGGATGACGGGGTGTTCGGAAGACTGTAGGAGGATGAGGATGCGTTCGGGGAGTGCAGGCTAAGGAGCCAGCTGTTCGGACCGATTGGTGATGCTACATAATGAAAGGCGGGAGGTAATCGCATAAACAAACTCGTATGGCCTCGCAATGATTGTGAAACATATGAAAGGCACAGCCCATTGTGGGGTTTGCATCCAATTTGGAGCCCAGACCAGTGTAATGAATTCACGTGAATCCGGCGCAGCAGCAGGGGTGTTGGGGGTGGTGGCAAAGGGGGCCGAGGTCCCCCAACTTCTCAACCCTCCTCAGTGTTGACTGCAAAGAAATCGCCCGAATCGACTATCGCCTATTCCCTCAAAGTTGCAGGGACTTCCCTTGGCTCTGCACTTAACTACGGTTTTGACATGCCGTCTCACGTTCCACCGACATCGCTGTATTTCTCCAACTAATGTGGCAGGCTCTATCGTCCCTGCACCAGCCCAGGTGGTTTCTGCGCCAGCGCTTGACGCTTCCTCGTCAGTAACTGGTGCCTCTGTGCCAGTGTCTGGCGCCTCCTTGTCAGTAACTGACGCCTCTGTGCCAGCGTCTGGCGCTTCCTCGTCAGTAACTGGCGCTTCTGTGCCAGCGTCTGTCGCTTCCTCGTCAGTAACTGGTGCCTCTGCGCCAGCGCCTGACGCTTCCTCGTCAGTAACTGGCGCCTCTGTGCCAGCGTCTGGCGCCTCCTCCTCAGTAACTGGCGCCTCTGTGCCAGCGTCTGGCGCCTCTTCGTCAGTAACTGGCGCCTCTGTGCCAGCGTCTGGCGCCTCGTCGTCAGTGTCTGGCGCCTCTGTGCCGCTGCTCGGCGTCGGTCACGCGGCGTCGGAGCAGTGGAGCCGAGCGCGAGCTATGGGCACGATTACGCCCCGAAGTGGCCACTGTGTCTCCGACGGGCCGGCATGCGCAGCGACCAGCCGGGCCGCTGGCACCGCGCCAACGCGTCACCGCAGAAAATAGCGATATTTTCACGGGACCCCCCTCCTCCCCTAAACTTTTAAAAACATACGATGATTATTTTCGCGCACATGCCGATCTGGCCCGTTGAATCATCGGCTGCGCCGGCGGGTGGCCGGCCGTGAGGGCGGCGCGGGTGCTCGTCCGCCGTTAGCACAAACAGCGCAGCCCAGCGCCGACAGGTGGACTAGCTGGCCGGCCAAGAGAGGCTCAGCCCCGGCCTGTCCACCTCGGCCATCAGACCAGACCAGAGGCCAGCCGCCGTCCGTCGCCGGCTGGCCTCGGTACGACCCCTGCTAAACACATCTACTAAAGACATCTTTAGTAGTTGAGTGGTTTAGTAGTAGTCGAGATAGTCTACTAAAGGTGCGCTGAACAGCGCAGTAGGCGGGTGGTGACTCACTGGTACTGTTCAGCATCATGATGTTGGGCTTGGTGTCGTTGCCGGGGCTCATGTAGGGCAGGCCGGCGGCCGGCGTCAACGGCGGCGTCGGGTTGCCAGGTATTGGTGAGTGCTGGTAGCTCATCGTGTTACCAGACATCGGCCTGCAACACATGCGATGGAGATGTTAAAGAGGCGATGAGTTTTTGGGAGTGGCGGGTGCTGCATCATCTCACCGCCAGACGCAGACCTGCAAGAAAGGCTGGGGAACTGAAGACGGGAGGGACAAGTGCTTGACATCAGCACGACGCGCGTAGGTCCTCGCGAAGCCGGAGGTCGGGCCGACAGACACGGACCAGCCGGGCACCAGTGACGTCAGGTGGCCGCCGGTCGTTTACGGTCGGCTCCTGCTGCTGCCAGACGCCAGTGGTGACCAGTGCGGCAGAAGAACACGACGGCGCCGGTCAGCGGCGATGACGGACGCCCGCTAGGCGGCAGCTCCTGCGTTTGCAGGTCACTGCCCCGGAGAGGAGGAGGGAGGGGGGTCTGACTGATGAGGGTGTTGAGTCAGGCTTGGCCGGCCTCCAGTTGCACGCGGCCTAGCAGCAGTCAGCAGCCGCCGCGCACTGGCGGCGTGCGGGCAGCACATGGCTGAGCGGCTGGCCAATCAGCGGCCGGCTCCTCCTCCGGAGGGCAGCCGATAACAAACGGCAAAGGTCAAGGTCACAAAGGTTCCAAAGGTCACTCCTTACATCTCTACATAATTGCCTTTGAGGCGAATGTTGTTCAGGGTATCAGGGTCAACATGACATCAAGGGCCTAGTTTCGCATCATTAGTTGTGGGACGGGGGGAGGGGATGAGCAGTGAAAAATGACGCAGCCCACTCCCAAATATTCAAGCAAAAGATTTCACCCAAGATTTGGCCCACTTTCTTCTCAAAACTGGGGCTAGAAATCAAGCCGGGGTGAGGGTAGATCCGCGCTCCACCCCCTTAACTGAACTGGGAACTACGCCCCTGCATCAGATGAAAAATCCTCTGTTTTTGTCTGGAATATGATTGTGGTGATGTACGGTGTAACGTATAACGCTCGCACGCATGACACGTATGACGTCACACACGTGTGACGAATAACGCTTGCATGCATGACGCGCAAATAACAAACATCTGAAGAACACGAAAAACACGAACACTAAATCAGCAATTACCTTTCTTCGACAGAGTGTGTAGGAACAAAATTAACGCCAGCGCAATCAAATGGTTAATTAATTTCGAAAGGATTTCCGTCATTCTTGATTTTGCGGTGTTCTTCTCTGAGATGGATGCGGAGAGGGAGAATTTTAAGCAGCGACTGCTACCAATCCTCAACAACCTTAGATTAATTTCTACGGCCATCCCGCACCACGAAACAAGATGTATCATAGAAAGGTGCCTAATGAGCGTCATAGGTATGTGTCTCACGTACGCATTAGGGATGCAGAACAAATAACCCGTGCTAAATACGGTTCATTTCGGATCCTGTGAGACCAGTTAAGCCCACATAGGTCGCTGCTTTCGATAGGGTTTGCACCGTTGTGCCCCACCCGTGCGCAATGTTGATGCCCGTCCCTCCTCAAAGCTGCTGGGCACAGGGTCACTGCTGGGCTGGCTGACCGCCTAGTGTCGCTCTGGTATCAGAGGGTGATCTGGTGTTCACCCCGGCCCGAGGGCGTTACACGCTGGACGCTCTGTGGCAGGAGCTGATGTCAGCTGAATGCGGTGATCGGGTCTACTAAGACAAGACTGCAAGACAACACGAGCAAATGTTGATATTGGCAAGGTTAGCCTTCCGCTCAGCCATCTCAATAAGGACGCCTGCCGCCGACGGCAAGTCAGGATGTCAGATGGTGAATGATGGTCGACCAAAGCCAGCGGCCCTTTGCGTCGGGCTCAGCTCTCTGGCCGCTGCTGAACATCAATGCCGTTTCTGTCGTAAGCAGCCTGTAGAAAACACCACGGACCTACCCAGCGTGCAATGTAGACACCGCCGTCCAGCAGCGGCGGCGCGAGAGGGCGCCGCAAGCTCTCCGGTAGCGCCCAGAAACAGGGCGCGCTCGCGTGATAGGATCCCGACCAGGGCCTTGTTATCGCACCCTCGCGCCTATCCGGTCCGACCCTCGCATGCGCCGGAAATATGCCGCCGAGTACCGCCAAGGCCCCGCGCGACGCCACCCGTCCCGACCGCTAGCGCCGCCCGGTGGCTGCGGCACCAACTAACGAGGCGGTCGTTTAACGCGGCGCCGCCTCAAGGGTCACTATCATTGATAAATCTACTGTCGACTCGACCGTAATGTTTGCCCACTGCCTGCCGTGTGCGACAGGGGCGGTTGGTGCTTGCCGCGCTTCAGGGAGGAGAACGAGAACCGACAACGAGCAGCACGAATAAATAACGCCGAGGGGATTTGGGGGGCGTGGACGATGATCAACACAAGGAGAAATTGTCTGAAACACCGGTTGTGCCGGAGGAGCGCGTGCTGGGGCGTAACACCGACAATCAGCCGACAGGGAGACGGAGCACACAGCCCGCCACAGGTGCACGGGCACCAGCTCTCGTGCCCCTGCACGCTGGGCCCGCGCGTGCGGCTGTGGCTCGGGGCCGGGCGGCTGCGGCCCGCCTCCTCGCCTCGCTGATCGGTGAGCTGGTCAACGCTCGGTTCGGTGCGGCTCGGCCCAGATTGTACGGTTTTTGTGCGCCGCGTAAAAAGGCCGGTCGCAGCGCATTACGGTACGGCGCCGGCCGGAGCGGTCCGACCCGCGTCCGGAAAACGGGCTCGGCACGAGCCGAGACGGCGCACCGCCAGCCAGCGCGCCCGACGCCCGCAGCGAGCACCGAGCCAGACAGCCAACTGTAGGCCACTGAAGGGACAGGTGCTCACCGCGGTGTGGTGCATGGGCGTATCGTCGTACGGCCTCAGATGGAGTCACTGTCGTGGCGACCATACAGTCCCGGCCACGCGTGGGTGGACTGTGAGGCAGTCGACAGTATATGGCGGTGAGTGGGCGCGCTAGCAAGGACGAGGCCGGTGACACAACACTCTAACGATGGTCATAGCTGTTTTCGTACAAATTTCAAGATAGTGAGCGTTGTCAGACAGTTGGATCGCAGGTCTGGGAAAAGCGCAACATATTTGGTGGTGATTTTTGGCTTTGATGGCGTATTAGGAGATATGACGAAAAAACTGACAGCTAAGAGTATGTCGCGTGCTGCTCCAGCATACCATGATGCTTTCGTTCAGAAGAGTAAGGGTGTCTAGACTTGACAATTTCAGTATGGATGGTGTCAACAGAATCGGCCAGACGAAATGCCACTTATTTTTACAGTCTTATACGTGAGAGCTACCAAGGCGACGGACGGAAAGGTGAACATGCTGTTCCGGAGTCGTCAAATCATCCAGTCAGAATCGTCGCTTCTCTTTGCCAACCAGTCACAAATGAGGAAATGAACCTTGCAGTACACGGCACCACCTTCATCTTGTCATGAGATATCTTTAATGCAGCATTTCCGTCTAAACTGATGAGAACGCAGGGCCGAAACCTCCAGTGCGATAAAAACCGGCGCCAGAAACAATCAAACCGCGGTGCCTTCATGCTCATAGATGAAGCTCTGTCGTTAATTGGGAGTGCACTTATTCCAAAAAAAAATCCAGACACTGCCATTGCGTCCATTGATGCAGAGGAATGGAGCCCCGAGACAAAAACTGGATATTAATCGCGCAGCGGTAATCGTTTCCTAAATCATTTCCTGTTTGGAGGGCACCAGACCACAACATGGGGTCCTGTCCCCTCCACCCTAAGAAGAAATTAAGCAAAATCCGGGGAAAAGGCGGTTTGTTGGTGCATATTGGGAGTAGTTTGCGTAATGTTACCACTGCCTCACCCCCCCCCCCCTCATTTACGAAACTGCGCCGCTGCAATCCCTACAATATACGCCTCCGACCACGTCGTACGGCTGCGTACAAACCGATGGAGGCGGCAGTCTGCGCCCCCGGACGCCGCCAGTGCTGCCATATGGTGGCGGCGGCGGGCTGCCAGATCGCGGGCCGATTCCTCAGAATAGACGGGCAGGGTGTTGATGTTCTAAAAGTGCCGCGCCGCCCCGGAATGTCCCGCACCAGGTCCAGGTCGGCCGGCGGACAGAGCGCGCGAGCGAGCGGGCGGGCGGCGGCGGCGGCGGCGGCGGGCAGGGTTGGGGAGGGGCGGCGGACAAAGAGCGGTCGCGCCGCAGAGACCAGGATAGAGCAGGGGGAGGGGCGGGGGGGGGGGGGGTTGGCGGAACGGGCTGGGAGGATAGACGGGAGTGAATCACGTGCGCCCACTGCAGCGCCCTCTAGCGGCAAACACAGAGAAAGAGAGAGAGGTGGGAAAGGGGAGCCGACGGGTATCTGCAGAGAAGGAGGCACGGCACGGTGACTTAATGATGATTTTGCACAAGAATCGAGAGGGCTGAAAAGAAAAATGCGGGGGAGGGGAGGAAAAGCAGGACCAACATGCTGGAGGAAGCTTCGCCCAGGGCTGGCAGCAGCGCCTCTGCGGACTGCAAATCAACTGAACCCGTCCCCACGCCATGCTGTCCGGACCGCCGCCGCCAGCAGCAGGCGCATCAGGTGTCCGACATGTCGGGCGTCGTCTTAACCCACACCCCTCACCGCTTCACAGCCCTGTGTCCGGCGTTGTCGCCGGGGCTCTAGTGACCTGGCGTCGGCCTCAGACCTGGGGTCGGCCTCAGACCTGGCGTCGGCCTCAGACCTGGCGTCGGCCTCAGACCTGGGATCGGCCCCTCGGAGCCCCGCAGCCCGGTGGTCCGGGGCACCTCGTCGTGGACGTACCGAAAGCGTACCGCACGCAGGGGCGAGTAAAGGGGAAGGACAGATTTGGCTCAGCAAGTCCCAGATGATGTACAGGTTAAAATCCGACGCTGAAATCCTCAGAAAAGCGTCAGAAACTGGAAAGAAATGTGAGGCAGACCATCGCCTTTCCACACTCAAAGCACGTTTCTCGTGTGCCACTGTACGGTACGTCGCGGACCGCACGTGGTACGGTGGGCGGCCGCTGTCCTCCCCTGACGCCGCCTCTGCGTCGGCGTCGTCTCTCGATCCCGGCGGCCGGCCGGACCGGCAGACCGGCGCGGGCGATCTGGCAGCCCGGCCGCCGCCGCCGCCGTGACGCCACTGGCGACTGCTCCCCCCCCCCTGACGCCCTCCCCCCCCCCCCCCGACTGCCCCCCTCCCTGACTCAGACCTGGCGCCGGGAGATGCGCCAGGAGCTGGCGCCGCCGGCCCGTCCCGGCCACCACACGCCGACACTAAATAAATACGCCAGCATTGAGTCTAATTGAAATCATCGGTCAGTCGGAATGAACAGCTGATGGCGCCATTTAATAAATACGGAGGCCGGCTGAGTGATGCCGTGGGCGTCCCTTCATTTGGCCGGGCCGCCGGCCGCTCTATCTGCCTCCGGGCAGGCGGGCGCCAGCTGTACCCCCCCCCCCCCCACCCCCACCTCCCGCGGGCCGCTCGCGCGAGCCTGATTCTAGCACCGCTGTTTTGGCGACCTGAGCTCTAGGTGCGCGGGGTGTACTCTCTCGAGCGACGACAGCGTGCGGCAGAGGGACGACTCGTCCCAGTGACGTCCCAGGTGACGGCTCGTCCCAGTGACGGGCCGTCTCAGTGAAGTCCCTGGTGACGGCCCGTCCAAGTGATGTCCCAGGTGACGGCCTGTCCTAGTGACGTCCCTGGTGACGGCCTGTCCTAGTGACGTCCCTGGTGACGGCCCGTCCCAGTGACGTCCCAGTAACGTCCCAGGTGACGGCCCGTCCCAATATTACCCATGGAATAAGGCGAGTGAAGCCCACGTGAACAGTCAGATGGTTGGAGATCTCCGAATCAGATTTCCGGTCCGGTCGGCTCGGTCCTGTCTCCCGTGTTTTCAATAGTGACGGTACCGTTTTGGCTGGTCTTAGCATACGTTCACGTTGAGAGACCGGCACTCGTCAAGAAGGCCGCGTGATTACAACACAGTCTCCACCAGTGTTCACTAATCGTTAAACAAAGCCCTTCCTTTTTTAGAAAGCTGAGCAGCGAAAGCTCACCTCTCATGGGCCCCAATCTGCTTTACTGACCCCCAACCGCCTCGCTGACCGAGTATCTGACCTCCATCCTGACCCAACTGGCCTCCGACTGACATCCGCTGACATGACCTCAAGCCGAACCCCCAACTTCCGCTAACGAGACAGCTCCTCCAGCTGACCAGTGATCCCCGCCGCCGCTATCTGACCTCGCTGAACCCCGGCTCACCCCCGCCTGACCCCGACCAGTGCACCCGTGCCAGCCTCGGCAACGGACGGCGGCGGCGGGGAGGGGTCGCGTGGGAGGAGGGAGGGGCCTACGGTCGGGAGGGGGCGTCCCCCGTGCTCCGCCCCGCTGCCGCCCCGAGCAGCCGCCGAACACGGCGCGGCCGGCGTGTAGCCATCCCTCAGCGGTGACGGCGACCGGCCAGCCACGCGGAAGCCGGCGGCGCCCCGCCAAGCCAAGCACGCCATCAGTCAGCGCGCGCCGCCCGAATTTGTCGCCGTGATGAAGAGGAGGCCTCGCCGCACTCGCCGCATGTTCGGTGACGAGTGGGCGCCGACAGACACCGGCGCTGGGAGGGGGGGACGGGTCAACGGCCAGCCGCGCCGCTGCTGGGGCGCGCGCGCGGCTCCAGGGCGCGACGGCCGGGTCAACACCTCACGGGCGGCCATTAGCGCCGTGCCAGCGGGCTCCGGCAGGCCGGCTCGTTACGGTGGCGCAAGCCCAACAGGGCGGCGGCCAGACGACCGGCGGCCGGGGACGGGCCGTGACGGCGCACGTCAGCGCCTGGCAGGCGCTGAACGGTGCCGGCCGGGCGGCGGCGAGCCACCCCCTCCCCTCCCCCGGAGGGTGGGGGCTGCTCTCGGGGTGGTGAGGCCCAGCGCGGGAGCAGGGTCGGCCGCGCACGGGCGGTGCTCGCCCAGCTCGGGACCAGCGGCCTTTTATAGATACGGAAGCATTGCTAACTTTGTGAAGGTACAGCAAATTGCATTGTTGTACGCAGGTTGAGAACATTACGAGAGTACGAAAGACTTGGGAGCATGTACGTCAGTTACCACTGGACTGACCTGGGGATGCCGGGCTGTCCCTGCTGCTGCTGCTGCTGCTGCTGCTGCTGCTGCTGCTGCTGCTGCTGCTGCTGCTGCTGTTGCTGTTGTTGCTGTTGTTGTTGCTGTTGCTGCTGTTGTTGTTGCTGTTGTTGCTGCTGCTGCTGCTGCTGCTGATGTTGCTGTTGCTGCTGCTGTTGCTGCATCGCCTGCGCCGCGCCCGCCGCGCCCCCCATCGCGCCCGCGCCGCCCGCACTCATGCCATTCATGTTCATAGCGCCCACCGGCATGGCCATGTTCATGCCGCCGCTGTTCATGACGCCCATCTGGGCCAGGCCGGCGTCCATGGGGCCGCAGCCGAAGCCGGCGCCGGCCGAGGCGCCGTACTGGCCGGCGCCGTACGGCAGCTGGCCGGCCATGGGGCCGCCGTACGGCGAGGCCGGCCTCATGCCCGGCCGGAGACCGCCCTGCAACAGGAGCAGGAGATGCTCAGCCGGGGCAGGCGGCACAGACACAGACACAGGAGCTGGCGCCGCTCAGTCGGGGCCGGCGGCACACTACAGACACAGCACCAGGCGCCGCTCAGTCGGGGCCGGCGGCACACCACAGACACAGCACCAGGCGCCGCTCAGTCGGGGCCGGCGGTACACCAGAGACACAGGAGCAGGCGCCGTTCAGCCGGGGCCGGCGGCACACCACAGACACAGCACCAGGCGCCGCTCAGTCGGGGCCGGCGGCACACCACAGACACAGCACCAGGCGCCGCTCAGTCGGGGCCGGCGGTACACCACAGACACAGCACCAGGCGCCGCTCAGCCGGGGCCGGGGGCGCACTACAGGCACAGCAGACGCAGTACAGGTGGCGGACTGGGCGGCGGGCGGCAACATCACCCACATCACAATGCAGAGCACAGCGACAGACCGCAGGTCAAAAGGACACGCGCGAGGCAAGGATGGGACACTGGTCAAGTTAAAACAAAGCGGAACCGAAGAGAACAGACAACAAAAGCAGACTACGACTCGAGTGTGAAATGATTGCTTCCATGTCTCTGCGATCGTGTCTCACATATAGTCCAGTTATTTTGTTTAGGATGATGTACATATATATATATATATATATATATATATATATATATATATATATATATATACGTATATAAACATGAAAATACATGTATACATATATATATATATATATATATATATATATATATATATATATACCATGTATAGATTGTATACTAGTGCACTATTTTTGTGTTATATCGTATCTTTTTAGTTGCACTACGGCCTGCTGTTGTGAAGGCACAGCGTGTTCGGTGTCCGATCATCGAATGACCATATTATTACGAGTGTACTGAGCAAGCTGCGATCATGAAAATATAATCGCGTGTGACGGGTTCATGTAATGGTTGTAAAATATGCGTGCCTGACAGTCATGCTGATATGAAAAATACTGAACATCTGAGTGATTATGATGACCGTGTCACGTTAATGTGCTTAAGATTAGTGTGCATCATAGCCATGTGATTATGACGAATATGGGCCACATTCACGAATTAATATGAATATGTCGGCAGGTGTAGAAACGTGATGACACTGGCGGCCAGCCACCACGGCGTGCTGGTGATGATAACGGCGCGTCTGACACGATAGCGTCGTGATTTTTATTAGTAGAATAGCTTGTAGCACAGCTGTGGGACGACAGTCCCGGCGGAGTTGGTACGATATCAGGCCGCCGTCAGCTGATGCACTACAGCGCTGTGAGGGTGCTGCTGGTGACGCTGGTGCTGGCGATGGGCTCGCCGGCCCGTCTCCAGCCGCTCGCCCGCCTCCGTGGCTGGTATCAGCCCCCCCCCCCCCCCCCCCGGCTCGTGGCCAGTATCAGCACCCCGCTTCCGCTCGTGCGCCGAATCACGGTGGCGCTTCCGGCGGGCGGGCGGCCGCTCAGATAGGGGCGCCGGCGGGGCCGACCCGAGGCACTCCTGTGACGGCCCGGCCCGCCCCCGCACGGCACGGCGCCGGCCGGCCGACCGCACCGCCCCGGCGGCTGCACCGCGTCTGCGTCTGACCGGCGGGGACGGCACGGAGCCGGCCGCCGTCGTCGGGTGCCACTTATGCCAACGGGAGACGACAGAGACATGTCTGCGACCGCCGCCGCTCGGGCTCGGCTGTCGACGGAGGACAGGCTGGCTGGCCGCCTGCCGCCCGGGCTCGGTGGACAGTCGGCTCGCAGTGCGCCACATTGGCTCACCGTGCACCACACTGGATCGGGGTGCAACACATTGGGTCAGGGTGCGCCACATGGGCTTACGGTGCGCCACATAGCCCCACAGTGCGCCATATTGGCTCATTGTGTGCGGTGCGCCACATTGGGTCAGCTCACCGGGTTATCTGCCGGCTCCAGTTCGTCAGCGACGCTCTGTCCGGCCATGGACAGACCATGGTACTGTAGCGTTCCGGAGCGTGAACATAAACAGCATTGCGGGGGCATTGAACCGATATCGTGCCACGAGCCCACCACCAATGAACTTTTTCTTGCAGGACTTCTTGGCCGATGCCCCATTTCATTTCCCTTGTGCGCGCCCTTGTTGAAGACCACACCCCTTCGCTGGGTGCGCCTCTGCTGCTGACGCCTCCCCCGACCCCTTTGCTGGGTGCGCCTCTGCCGCCGACGCCTCTCCCGACCCCGGTGACCTCGGCGGTATCGATGCCGCACGGGCGTCACCGGTAAACACAGCCGCTGTCTGCACAGCCCGTCACAGTGGACGGCCTCCCCTCTGACGGCGGTGACAGGCGTCAGGCTCCAACAGGCCGACCGACCCCTGCAGCGCAGGTCTCGTCGGAGAAGCCGGCCGGCCGCAGTGCAGGTCACTGGAGTGGAGTCGCCGAAGTGGACTTATTGGAGTTGATTCACTGGAGTTAAGTCACTTGAGTTGACTCCATGGAATGGAGTCAATGGAATGGAGCCGCTGGAGCGTGGTCACTGGAGCGTGGTCACTGGAGTGGGGTCAATAGAGTCGAGTCTTTGGAATGGGGTCACTGGAGTAGAGCCATTGAAGTGGAGTCACTGAAGTAGTAGAGTCGCTGGAGTGGCTCACGGCGCCCAGAGAGCGCAAAACAGCGCACCGACGCGGCGTGAGCACGAGTGGCGTGCGGCAAGACAGGCCGGCGAAATGTTGTGGCGCGGATGACGAGGTCGTAGGAGCTTCAGCTACAACTAGCCGCATGGCGCACAATGTCCAGCTACTCCTGGCCGTGGCAACAGCCTCCTCTTGCAATCAGCTGTTTCTGTTCCCTTCATGCCCGACAAATCTGCGCATTGCTTATGGCGGCGATTGAAAATGGAAACCTGAAGCAAGCCGTGTCGGAAAACCGCCGGATTAGCGAGCCTGTGTAACATGTAGTGGCCTGAGTGTGTTTGCTCTTGGGAACAAAAGCTCGCCAGGCTTAGGTCAAGCTTCAGTAGCCTCTCGCCGCACACGTCCCGTCGCTCTGGCCGTACCTGGCCGTGCGGGTCACGGGGCACCAGTCATGAGTACGCGGTGTGCACGCCACAGGCGAGTCCATTCGCGCGCAGCACAGCGCAGGCGCCCGTCCCTGAGAACCAGGTCCAGCGCGTCCCTGAGAACCAGGTCCAGCACGTCCCTGAGAACCAGGTCCACCGCGTCCCTGAGAACCAGGTCCAGCACGTCCCTGAGAACCAGGTCCAGCGCGTCCCTGAGAACCAGGTCCAGCGCGTCCCTGAGAACCAGGTCCAGCGCGTCCCTGAGAACCAGGTCCACCCCGTCCCTGAGAACCAGGTCCAGCGCGTCCCTGAGAACCAGGTCCAGCACGTCCCTGAGAACCAGGTCCAGCACGTCCCTGAGAACCAGGTCCAGCACGTCCCTGAGGATCAGGTCCGGCCCGTCCCTGAGAACCAGACCCAGCGGATCCCTGAGGACCAGGTTCAGCGTATCCCTAAGGAGCAGGTCCCGCGAGTCCCCAAGGACCAGACCCAGCGCATTCCTAAGGATCAGATCCAGCGCGTCCCTGAGGACCAGGCCGTACTGACTGGCACTGACTGACACTGACTGACTGATTGGCTGACAATGACTGAAAGCTCTGCGTGGCCGACTGACTGACACTCTGACACCGGCTGACATTGGCTGGCACTGACTGACAGCTCTGCGCTGCCGTGCCGAGCTGTGACCTGCGCCAGCTGGCGGAGCCCGGCAGGTCACGCAGCCGCGCCAGCCCGGGTCAGTAGGAGAAAGAAGGCTAACGGTAGCCTCATCGAGCCCCGCAAGCCCAGACCCACGACCGTGAGACCGAGCGCTGTCCTGAGCTGTACTGTTGCGGTCTATGACACGCTGGTGGCCGCAGCAGCTGGTTAAGAAAGGCGGCACTCCCCGCCATTAACTGGTGGGGTCGGACCAAACCGACGCTGCGCTAATCGGGTACTAGTCCGCTCTGATGTATGTGTGAGCGTGCGCGTGCGCGTGTGCGCGTGTGATGACGGTGGCCGTCCGCTGCTGACCTGGTTCGGCGGGAACTGCGACGGTAGTGGCTGCTGCACCGGGTACTGGCCGTACTGGGCTGGCGCCGCCCGCTGCGCCATCTGTGGGTGACCTCCGCCGTACTGCGCCCCGCCGTACTGAAACCCACACACTCGGTCAACTTACGCACGGCACGAGAAACACGCGACAGCGCAGAACCCCGCATGCACCCTGGCAGGAATTCACCGATGTTACGACACCAAAATGCAGTACCGTATTCTGCCCTGGGCCGACAGTGTGAGAGATTTCTCCCAGATAACCTCTGTTCTTAAAGAGACGGAGCCCACGCATGAACTCCCAGTACAGCGGACAATTACGACGGGGCCGGGACCGTTTGAGCGGGCTACTAAAGTCGCTTTTACGCCTGAATTTGGCATTCGCCGCCCGAAACAACACCCAACAATCCTTTTCTCTCTTGTTTTCCGCTGCCGTCGAGGCACATATTCGCGTTCGCGCGCGCCAGCGATCCTGATAAATCACCTCCGCTGCCGGCGTTGCATTTTATCCGGCGGCTAAGCAG